TAATGATTTTCATACAAATTTTAATATTTACTGCAATTAAATTTTCTTCTTTCTCATCACTATTTCCTACTTTCTGATTATTCTTACTTTCTTATTACTTTTCTTACTTTCTTATTACTATTCTTACTTTCTGATTGCTATTCTTACTTTCTGCTTACTACTCTTACTTTCTGATTACTATTCTTACTTTCTGATTGCTATTCTTACTTTCTGATTACTTTTCTTACTTTCTTATTACTATTCTTACTTTCTGATTGCTATTCTTACTTTCTGATTACTTTTCTTACTTTCTTATTACTATTCTTACTTTCTGATTGCTATTCTTACTTTCTGATTACTTTTCTTACTTTCTTATTACTATTCTTACTTTCTGATTGCTATTCTTACTTTCTGCTTACTACTCTTACTTTCTGATTACTATTCTTACTTTCTGATTACTATTCTTACTTTCTGATTATTATTCTTACTTTCTGCTTACTATTCTTACTTTCTGCTTACTATTCTTACTTTCTGCTTACTATTCTTACTTTCTGATTACTATTCTTACTTTCTGATTGCTATTCTTACTTTCTGATTACTATTCTTACTTTCTGATTACTATTCTTACTTTCTGATTGCTATTCTTACTTTCTGATTACTATTCTTACTTTCTGATTACTATTCCTACTTTAGTGTTTACTATTCTTACTTTCTGATTACAATTATAACTTTCTGAGTGCTACTTTTTAAACTCTTTTATTTTTAATTCTTATGTTTAAAATTCTTGACATTACTTTCTACTTGTAATGAAATCTCCATAAGCTTTCCAATCTATTGGTCTAAATAGTTGTTGCTGGGTATTTAAAAGAAACAATGCTTTACGGATTAACTGTTGCACTGCGTCTAAGCTTTATTGTGTCATACCATTCCCTGGCATGCCATGATTCAACAGGAGTAGCGCCCACTAATGTCTTATAGCTTTCACTAATGTCTTAAATGTAGCGTCCACTAATGTCTTAAATGTAGCGTCCACTAATGTCTTAAATGTAGCGTCCACTAATGTCTAAAATGTAGCGTCCAGTAATGTCTTAAATGTAGCGTCCACTAATGTCTTAAATGTAGCGTCCACTAATGTCTTAAATGTAGCGTCCACTAATGTCTTAATTGGGCTGACGCATTTAATCACCCATGAAAAGAAACGTCCTTCCGGTAATAAACATGACCATAAGTTAATGCCTAAGTGCAGATTATGTTGGTTTTCACCCAAATAATAATTTTATTCATATAGTTTTTGTAATGTTTTTTTTTTCATTTATTTATAGACACTTAAATTTGGTTGTTTGTTAGTGTCTGTTTTATTTTCCGGGCTTCGGCTCAAAACAGTTTTAAACTGAATGAGCTTTTCCTTCACAATATTAATTGCCTCAGTATATGAACATGGATTCCAGCCAAATCCGACATATTTATCAAAGAAGATCCTAAAATTGCTCAAATTGTTTGCAGCATATTCAATCAAACGGTAAATTATCTTTTCGCCACTCTTCTCTTCTAGATCATACATGGCCTTGAACATTGAAAAATCACTGACTTCGAACAGAGTTAATTTTGATACAAGGAGATATGCCTGATATCGTTTAGTAAGATTGACAACATATCTTTTCCAAATGTTGATTCATTTTATTTCATATTTCAGACTAGAAAGCAATGTCATATCTAACGTCTTATTGGGTCAACATTTTAATTTAGCCCTAAATTCCAGCCCCCCACCTCCACCCCACTCCCCACACCAAAAAATTAAGTATTAGGCCTACTGTGCTGGTAAAAACAGGACAAATGGTCACCTTGAATTTAAATTGTTTATGCATAGTCATTTTTACCTGGTCTGTATGGTCCAAAGTCTCACAATAAAAACAGGTATCAAAACTGAACAATTATTTTTTTAACAAATACTATAATAATGCATTAATTACTTTTATTTTATTTATTTTTATACACAGAAACAGTAACTAAGAGAATGGGTTTTTAAATGTGCAGAGATTTTTAAATGACACGCTTACATTAAATTGTTTGTCCTTTGTGATTGGCTTGGAACTTTGGGGGTAGGTGTAAATAAACTGATTGAAATGAACAATGTGTCAAGAAAATTTTAAAATGTTTGAGGCGTAGATATAATGTGTAAATGACAACAATACATTGAAATAATTGTGAATCACGCTGGGTGGATAAAATATAAAATAGCAACAAATATTTGTATATTCGTTTTGTTTACGCTAATCCTCAGAGCGTTGCTGAGACTGGTGCGCAGATGACTTACGATACCAATCCTTGTAAGAAAATTTCTTTTGCAGTAGGAGCAAGGTGAAGACGAGACATCTCTTGGAGTGGCGAGGACCTTCCTGGAATGTCTCTTAGGTTCAGCACCAGCTGATATGTTGACTTCCTGGAAAGTCTCTTAGGTTCAGCATCAGCTGTTATGTTGATTCCTGGAATGTCTCTTTAGTTCAGCACCAGCTGTTATGTTGACTTCTGGTGGCGAAGAGAATAATGTGTGTACGCTAACGTACAGTGCTAAAAGGTTCGGTTCTTTTCCGTGTGTTCCCACATGTCCGGGTTTATGCAGAACACGTTAGTTGGGGCTTTCAGCGTCTCTCTGAAGCGTTTCCTCTGAACTCCAAAAGACCGCTTGCCGTGCTCTGTTTTGCCATAAAATATCATATTTGGTATCGGTTGTCTGACAGGCGTATCTGGATCTACATCAAGAACCTGATATGTTAAGGTGAACTGTAAGACAATAAGCGGTAACCCCCCCCCTTTTTTTTTTATCTCCCCCAAAAATAAATTTACGACCAATTTTTGTTTTACTTTTTATAAATTAGTATAGATTTAAATTTAACAATATAACTAATTTTCACATATAACCAGTGATTTACAAAAAAATAAGAAAATTCAATTGCTTCAGAAAGGATTCACCATTCTTAGAATCGTAAGTTCTTATTAAGACAGCATTTTTTAGCGACAGATATCCTCAAAACTACTCCTTTTCTTACTCTCCCTTCAGATAATCCACACTGAATTGAATAATTATTTCGCAATACTTGAAGGAATAAAAAAAATATTTTTAAAAAATAAACGGTATCATTTTTCACAATGGATTCAATGATTAGTTCATTGGTAGACATTTATTGCAATAATTAGTTCATTGGTAGACATTTATTGCAATGATTAGTTCATTGGTAGACATTTATTGCAATGATTAGTTCATTGGTAGACATTTATTGCAATGATTAGTTCATTGGTAGACATTTATTGCAATGATTAGTTCATTGGTAGACATTTATTGCAATGATTAGTTCATTGGTAGACATTTATTGCAATGATTAGTTCATTGGTAGACATTTATTGCAATGATTAGTTCATTGGTAGACATTTATTGCAATGATTAGTTCATTGGTAGACATTTATTGCAATGATTAGTTCATTGGTAGACATTTATTGCATTGATTAGTTCATTGGTAGACATTTATTGCAATGATTAGTTCATTGGTAGACATTTATTGCAATGATTAGTTCATTGGTAGACATTTATTGCAATGATTAGTTCATTGGTAGACATTTATTGCAATGATTAGTTCATTGGTAGACATTTATTGATTGAGATATTCATTTAGATATTCATTTATTTATTTATTTATATTTAAATGGCATTAGCTGTGAATTCACTCCCACCCCTCTAAAAAAAAATAAAAAAAACAGTCTCTCACCCATGACGTTAATTGTAATTCTGGCTCAATTCCTAATTGAAACAACGCACTAGTGTCACGTGGGCACAATACCACCTGATGGCAGATTCAAAACTCACAGCCCATTGTTCGAACATTTAGCCATGGCTGCAGGCAGAGACCACAATATGGTCAATTTAAACCACATTTTATTTTCTTTGTTTCTTTTGTTGTTTTTCTTTTTTGTGTGTGGATGCGCACGGGATGAATGAGTAGAAATGCTTTATACCTAGACACTATTTGACATACAGACACATAGAATTATATATTGAGATATTACATTATTCTATCACACCAAGAAATTGAATAAAAGGAATAAAAATAATTCTAATATCTAGGATCGACTCATTAATAATGCATGTGCATGAGCATGGGCGCCCGCAGAAAACTTTCTAGGGCTGGGGGGGGGGGGGGAAAAAAAAAGAAATTAATTTTCNTTAATTTGCTGTAGCGTATTTGTATGGTGAACGAACGGACAGGACATCAGCTTAGTTACTTTCTCTTTATTTTCTCTTTACTTTAATACATTTTTTGTCTATTTTGGCTAAAAAAAATTTATCCAATCAATCCAGGGGGGGGGGGGCAAGTGCCACCCCCTTGCCCCCCCCCTTTGGGCGCCCATGTGCATGAGTATCAATCAATGTGTGTCCGAAGTGATGATTAAAGGTATCTATACTACAGAAAAGCTGGAAATTAAATTATGGTTTACAGCGATAAGCTGCGATACTAACAACATCACAAATACAAAGTCAGAACGGCAGATACTTGTGACATAATACTGACAAGATGAGAATCACGCCTTTTAACGCAAGTCTGCCCACCCCGTGGAACAGTCCGAGAGAACTTCTGGCAGCTGCCAACTGCATGACCAGGAAAACTGTACGGCATCCCTGGAAACTCAGGCAGATGACTAAGGAAATGGTCCACTACTTACAAAAAAAGCAAAACAACATTAAAAAAAAACAACATATAAATATGGCTGGCTGGCTGCGTGACAAGGCAGATATTAGAAGATAACTTACATGAAACCTTTATGTCCTGTACACAGCAATGTTATAAGAGAATATTTAAGGACACGCAATTATATGAAACACACTTTTTTTGTGTATGTAGGGTGAACAATGACACACACGAATGTTTGTTACAATTATTTAAGAAAAGTCTACGTCTATGTCAAGTTGTGTTTGAGCATGTTTAAAGTCGCCTCTCTCCTGCTCGTGTTGTGACAGATATGGGACGGAATCGATACGGGTAGAGTCGGCGCTGAGTGAGCCGTCTAGCGAGACGCCTGATGGGAGGATCGTAATCATAGGGCGTCGCTATGTAGTCGAGGTAGTCCGCCTCCAGCTCTTCGGTGAACGAATCATCATCGCCGGTGGCTTCTTCCTCTTCTTCCACGGCGCCGTTCTCTTTGACGCCGTCTTTATTGCTGTCATTATTTTCCTGGCCATCTGCCAGGGGCGCTTTTCTTGCTTTCGACCGCGTGAGGTAGTTATCGGTCAGCGCCTCGGCTCTCTCGGCAGCCTCCAGCCTCGCCGCCTCCAGCGCGGCCAGTCGTCTGTTGAACATGAGCCTCGTTTCGACTCCAGGAAGACCTCGCCTTGATGCCACGAAGTCGTCCCTGCCACCGATCGTCAGGTAGTAGCCTCTCTGGGAGAGGAGCGGCATTTCCAAAGGCGCCACCTCTGGGTCGAGGACGTCAAGAGAATCTTGGTAGGAAATGGAAGCCCTCCTGGCAAGGGCGTTGAGATACAGACGCCTTGCCAACATCCGGGTCCTGACTAACTCTGGCAGACCGTACTTCCTGGCGATTTCACCCGCAGTTTCTCTTTTAGAAGGAGCCATTTTCTTATAAAACGAAGTGTGCACTGGGTTTTATCAAGAAATCTATAGCAATATTTAGACAAATAGCCACAATCAATGTTGAGATCGATTTCAGTTATCACCAATATTCCCAACTGGGTCCGACAAAGCGCATGAAATTTTTTTTTGAAAATTTAGCGTTAACAACAGTGAGTGTTGATGTAAGAATAGTCCTAGAATCCAGATCACCGTTGAAACTTTGCCTGATCTACTGAAATGGGCAGCGTGACCAGAAATGTTCTGCTTATAAAGCAACTTTGTGGCTGAGCTCATCTCTATTATGGCTTGGAGTGGCGTCTCATTAAGATATGGCAATAATCCCTATGGGAGAGGGGGGGGGGGGGGGTTCGTCCAATCAACACGAAAGAAAACAAAAATTTAAAAGGTCATTGGGGGTGGGGTGGGGAGAGGGGTGGGGGTCATTTTCACTTATCTGGAATTGAAATAGTTAAAAGCAGCAAAGTTAAAAACAAAACAGAAACACGAGTACATTGTGTACATCTGTGCGTACCCATGACATATGGCAACCACGGCAAGACCTAAGAGTGCGCCCCTATCAAATTTAAGAAACCTATTTTTAGTAACCGAAATTTGTCACAATTTCCATCAATGTCAACACGTCTCGTCTACTCGTAGAGTTTTATATTGTCATCTTATTACAAGCAAAAGATTAAATTTGTCGTTTTTGTTTTTTTTTATGTAGGAAGTATTCGTCCGGTTTGACGATTTTGTGTGATCGCCCCGGGTGCCACTTTAGGGGGGGGGGGGCGGCAAAATCGTTTTCTTATATAGACATATTAAAAATAAACTTTAATAAGGGCACAGGATATGAAATCTTCGTGCTTTATTTTTATATCAGCCTGGTGAATTATTGTACTAGCCATGGTGCATTATTGTACTAGCCATAGTGCATTATTGTACTAGTCATGGTGCATTATTGTACTAGTCATGGTGCATTATTGTACTAGCCATGGTGCATTATTGTACTAGTCATGGTGCATTATTGTACTAGCCATGGTGCATTATTGTACTAGCCATGGTGCATTATTGTACTAGCCATGGTGCATTATTGTACTAGCCATGGTGCATTATTGTACTAGCCATGGTGCATTATTGTACTAGTCATGGTGCATTATTGTACTAGCCATGGTGCATTATTGTACTAGCCATGGTGCATTATTGTACTAGCCATGGTGCATTATTGTACTAGCCATGGTGCATTATTGTACTAGCCATGGTGCATTATTGTACTAGCCATGGTGCATTATTATACTAGCCATGGTGAATTATTGTACTAGCCATGGTGCATTATTGTACTAGCCATGGTGCATTATTGTACTAGCCTTCGTGCTTTATTGTACTAGTCATGGTGCATTATTGTACTAGTCATGGTGCATTATTGTACAAGTCATGGTGCATTATTGTACAAGTCATGGTGCATTATTGTACTAGACATGCTGCATTATTGTACTAGCCTTGGTGCATTATTGTACTTGGCATGGTGCATTATTGTACTAGCCATGTTGCATTTTTGTACTAGCCTTGGTGCATTATTGTACTAGGCATGGTGCATTATTGTACTAGTTGATGTACAGTTGGTATGGGGGCCGGAATCGTTTCCCGGTGTTTGTAGGCCAATGTTTATTACGTACGATGGTAATAATAAGGATTTATTATTATTTAAAACAGAGTCAGTTCGGAAAGCCAATGTTTCTTATTCACGGCATTCGGAAAATCGACCCTCTACTGTACTGAAATATCGGGGAGAGAGAGAGAGAGAGAGAGAAAGGAGAGAGAGGGGGTGGGAGACAGAGAGAGAGAATAGGGGGCGATCCGCATTTATTTATTTATTTTTTTTGAAGGGTCATATTTTTGGTCCACTTCATATACTTGACATTATTTTATTATGTTTATATTGATGTGTACATTGTAGTCCGTATTTTATTTGAATGTGGCTGTTTCAGTAGATAAGTGTCGGCAAAGTCGAGAACCACCTGAGCGTCATGAGGTTCTGGGTACTGGAGGGCACCGTGTATAGTATTCATCAGAAATGATGTTATCGTCATAATATGATTGGGTGCTGCCTCCCACAGAGATTCATTTGTTGAGTTTCATTTGAGGTTAGCCTAACAGCGTGGCGAGTGATTCAAAACACAAGTTTGAAATCCACTGAAACTCTTTTAGATCACACAAATACCAATATACAAACAGCAGTACACAGTACTCAAACACCAGTACACAAACACCAGTACACAAACACCAGTACAAAAAAATCCACTACACAAACGCCAGTACACAGTACACAAACACGAGTACACAGTACACAAACACCAGTACACAGTACACAAACACCAGCACACAAGACGACATAGATGAGAAAATATGGACTTGGCATGTCACTCTTACAGTGGCGCAAGAGTTGTGGGCTGAGGGGGCGGTCCGCCCCGGGTGGCACTTTTTTCATACATTGGGGTGCCGCGTTTTCGGCCACCTTCAGAATTCTTACCTTTTTTTTTTGTCTTAGTGGGAAAACTGGTCCCACCCCGGGCGGCACCAACTCCCTAGCTTCACCACTGGGGGTGGGGGGTTCCTACCCGGGCGGCACTAACTCCCTTGCTCCACCACTGGCTTGATGTACAACATCGCATGATCTTATTGGAGAGGAACTGACGTAAACAAGTGTTGTGTGTTGTTTTTTTTTGTTGTTGCGTGCGTATGTGTACGCGAGGTTTGGAAGAGGGTGTGGGGCACTATCGGGATTGGATGCCTGCATAACACGCCAAGACATTAATTATTCATTAGGCTTAGATATTGCAATAGCAGCATTTAATTAGAGTAATGTTACAGGTGATAATGGTTGTTGGTCCTCTGTCCCTCCACACCCCCCCCTCCCAACGTTCACTCTGAGTTGAGCGTACACCAACCGTAAAGCAAATGCACAAACAATTTGACAAGCATACATTTTTTATATAAAATGTTTATATAATCGGCTCTTTAAATATTTTTGTATACCCTTTTTACCACCCAGAAAACTGTAGTAATGGTACTATTTGTTCAATTTTAATTCACTGCAAAAATTTGTTTTAACGTATCATTTGTTCATTTTGTTAATTCTATGTCCATACTCACTGTAACCAGTATGTTGACCATTGTTGTGGCCAAAATTGAACAGTGAGAGATTGTGGGGCGAAGATTTTCAAGTCAATATCTTTGAGCCAGGCCTGCACAACTCAAAATGTAAGGAGGGCCGTAATACATTATGAAAAACTTGCGCGGGCCAAAAGAAAATGGGGCAGGACTTGTGCGGGCCAAAAGAATATAGGTCAGGGGGAAAGCTATTAAGAAAATAATAAGGATAAAGAGTTTTTCGTTACCCCGCGGGCCTCAAAGTGGGTGCTGGCGGGCCTCAAAGTGGGTGCTGGCGGGCCACATGCGGCCCGCATGTTGTGCAGGCCTGCTTTAAGCCATCGACGTCACATCTTTAGCAATCCAGAACAAATCTGTGTCTTACACATGGGCGCCCGCAGGTAGGGGCAAGGGGGGGGGGGCACTTGCCTCCCCCCCCCCCGGTTTGATTGGGTAAAAAA